CGACGACGCCGCCGACGCCATGGCCGCAGCGGAGGCGCAGCTTGCTGACTGCCGCAGCTGGCGCGACACTTGTGCGCTCCACCTCGCCGAGGCTCAGGCCGAGGAGGCCAAGCTCCTCCGCCGTCGGGCTCAGGCGTCGGGCGTGGGATCGCCCATCCTGGAGGTGGACAAGCAGCTCACCGTCAACTTCGACGCCGAGTCCCTCGAGAAGTTTGGCGAGCTGGAGGAAGAGGCTCAGGAGAACCTCAAGCGCCTCTGCGCTGAGGGCCATGACATCATGCGCGTGGCCCAGCAGAACTTCGAGCAGCAGTGCCAGGAGCAGCTGCGGCGCATCCAGCAGGAGGCCGAGGAGACGATCAAGATGACGCGGAGGCTCGGCGACGATACCGAGGATAGCCAGGCCGGCCCTGCGGCCGCCGCCGAGCCGCCGACGGCCCCCGCGGACCAGCCCGCAGGCGGTGAGCCCGCTGGGGAACAGAGAGATCCAGCGGCCGCAGCGGCCGCAGCAGCACCTGCTGCAGCAGACGACGCCGCGGCGGAGCAGATCCGACGCAACGCGGCGAAGCTCGGCGCCTCGGCCTCGGAGCAAGCCCGCCAGCGCGCCGAGCCGAAGGCTGGTGGCCAGGCTGCTCCAGGGTCTGCTGGCGCTGCTGATAGCGCTCAGCCCCGCGGGTAGCTGCGCGCGGGCCGAGATACCATTGGGCGCGGGGGAAGGGGATTCAGCCCCCTACCGTCACACCCCAGCGCCCTCACGCTCAACCAGTTCGGCAACGCCTTCTTGGTTGGGGGCGTTGGGGACTGCGAGTTCGGCGACTGGCATGGCCTCTCCTGGCAACGGTCGGCCTGGTCCGCTTCAGCCTGGAGCGAGGGAGCCGCGGACGCGCGGACGGCAGCCTCCCCCTCCAGGTGCCCTGCTGCCACGGCCCCCGACGGGGGGGTGGCCGATGCCCGTGGCAGCAGGAGCAAGCGTTGACCACGGTTCTGACCAGGCGGGAGAGGCCCCGCCACATGAGCTACATGGAGGTGCCTGGAGTTCTCGGCAGGCGACTTCAGGATCGGCCTCCGCGACGACAGGTATGACGGCGCCTTCGGGCTCGGCGACCGCGCCTACAAGCCTGGGAACCGCAGACCCCTCCTGCCAGGCAGGTGCCCACGGGCTTTAAAGGAGGGAGCGTCTCGGGGCCCAGACTGGGCTGGGCGAAGGCGTGTTGCTGCAGTTGGATAGCCTGCTTCCCGACCAGGGTGCTCTGGTGCCCGCGCCTGGGCAGCTTGAGGGTAAGCTTACCGTGTGCACCTACAACGGCAACACGTGGAACACGGCCTCCAGCGTCCACGAGTGGATGAGGAAGAAGGGGCTGGTCCCGCACGCGATGTTCGTCCAGGAGACGCGCTTCACATCTGACACGGCGGTGGAGCAGGCCCATGGCTGGGCCAGCCGAGGAGGTCACCGACTCGCGGCCTCAGGGGTCCTGAGGACTGGAGACGCCGCCACGGCGGTCTCGTCGGGAGTGGCCATAGTCTCCTCGTCGCTGCTGGGCACCGCGAGATACCTCCTGCCCTGGGATGGGGCCCCACATCGGTTCATCGCTCGTCGAGTCTCCGTGGGGGAGGGCACCATGATTGCCATGATCTCGGTGTACCTCGAGGACTCGATCGGGCTCCAGGGGCCCAACAGGCAACTGCTGGAGGACATCCACGCGTGGGGCGCTCACCTGGACGAGCCTTTCATCATAGGTGGCGACTGGAACATTCAGGCCAGCGAACTGGACACCTCAGGCTGGCCTGAGCTCATGGGAGGCGCTGTCCTGGCACCTGGGTTGGCCACCTGCAACGACAATGAGTACGATTACATCGTCACCTCGCGCGCGCTAGAAGACCTGGTGGACTCCACCACGGCCCACGCTGACACCCCCAACGGCCCGCACCAGGTCGTGTCGCTCGTGTTGCGTGGCTGCTGGAAGCGGCCCATGATCCAGACGCAGCGCGTGCCGAAGGGTTTTGGGCTGGAGTTCGATGCCGATGAGGAGGCCAGGACCAGGCGCGACCAGCTAGTGGCCACCCTCCCCTGGCCACCGCCTGGCTCAGGCCTTGAGGGAGGAGTCAAGGGCTGGTTTGATCAGGCTGAGGAGGCACTGCAGGCTTCACATGGAATGCCCAGCAGTGAGGCTCGGTTTACAAGGGCAGGTCCAAGGGCCTCAGGACGGTCACGGCCCCTCTGGAGGCCAAGGTCCAGGAGGGCCGCTGTGATCGAGCATCGGAGGTCACCTACCTCTGGCTGTCGCTGCGCCACCTGTCCAAGAGAAGGTGGGACTTGGGGCCCATCGGGCCCAACGCCCAGCCCGACAGCTCCAGGGCCAGGCGAGCGCAGCAGCTGTTCGAGTCAGCCAGCCGCTTGAAGGTCAAGTTCCAGGATCAGTCCATCACGATGTTTGATGGCACGGTGTTCTTGAGCTTCTGGGATGAGATCGGCCTCCAGACTGAGTTTGGCTACAACTTCTTATTGGTGATGGAGCAGGTAGTGGCTAAGCACACCAAGGAGGATGCCAAGGCCAGCAAACTCAAGTGGGATGACTTCCCGGAGCAGGCCTTTGAACGTCAGGGTTCGTTGGCCCACAAGGTCATCAAGAAGACCCACGGAGAGCCCAACCCCGTCCTTGAGGCCGGCACGGTGGACCATGCTCTGGTGGGCCAGCCTTCTCTGGAGAGGATGCTAGCTGACTGGCCCCCCATATGGTCTGATCCCAGTCGGAGCGGCCAGGAGCACCCTGGTCTTTGGGACGTTGGCGAGTGGGTGCTGCCGCCGATCACGGTGGACGACATCAAGCTCGCGTCGCGCAAGTTCTCCAAGCACGCGGGCCTTGGCTGGGACAGTTTCCACCCGCGCTTGCTGCTGGGGGTGGGAGAGGACATCCTGGCCAGGCTCGCCAGTCTGCTCAACTCCTGGGAGCGCTCTCCCTACTGCGGCGAGCTGTGGACCGTGCTCATGGTCTTCTTGCCGAAGCCCGATGGCGGGCAGCGGCCCATCGGGCTCATGCCGCTGCTGCCCAGGATCCGGTCAAGAGTGCGCCAGGGCTACACGGCCAAATGGGAGAGGTCGCTGGAGCAAACCCCCTTTTGGGGAACCTCTTGCGGAAGGCCCCGAGCAGCTGGCCAGGGACGGCGAGGACTACGCCGTGAAAGTCCTCACGGCCCAGGTGGCAGGGGGCAGCTACAGGCTCTACGTGGACTGCATGGCCACGGTGCGCTGCGCGGCCAACCCGTTGGCGGCGGCCGCCGCCAGCAGCCAGCGTGCGCACTTGTGGGCTGGCCAGGCCGAGCAGCTGCAGGACGTGACGGTGGTCAAGATCAAGGCTCACTTGGGCCCCAAGGCCGTCGCAGACGGCCTCATCTCGCAGTTCGAGTTGGACGGCAACGCTCGCGCTGACAGGCGAGCCAAGCAGGGCGCGGCGGCGGCCAGGGTGAGCCTCGATGACATCCACACTGTCGAGGGCTGCCAGGCGCCGGTGCGCCAGGCGGCGCGGTTCGCCGCCGCGCATGAGGTGCACATTTCGCGAACCAACAGGCTCGACTCCATGGGCGTGGTGGCACTGAGACTGATTGACCTTGGAGAGTGGCCGCAGTGGCCAGCTGAGTTCGACGATGAAGTGGAGGGTGCCGACTTGGAGGCCGCGGCCAGCTCCCATGTGACAGTGGGGAGCGCGCCGACGGAGCCCGATGTTGTGCCCGTTGGACTGAAGCCTTGGCGCGTCAGCAGGCACACCTTGCTCGCGGCGCCCATTTTCGGCGATGAAAATGTACGATCGGCCCAGCGGTCCAGCGGCAGCCTTCTCTTTTGTACAACGTGCCGAGGTTATGTTTCTGATAAACGGGGACGAGGCCTCCAGGATAAGTGTCCAGGAGGCCCGATCCCCAGTGCCAAAAATAATAATTCCGCTTTAAAGCACTTGAAGCACCCCAAAGGGAACAGGCTTCTTGGGAGCTTGCGGTCGCCCTTAGAGTCCGAGATCGAGTTTTGGACTGGGCATTTTCCCCCCGAGCCTCCAGCGGTGGCCCAAACGGGTGCCCCGACGGTTGGCCCTAAGAGGCCCAGCGTCCTGGAAGTCTTGCCTTCTTTCGGGCTTCAGCTGGCCGATGCCCAGCGGTTGGGGTTGAGAGCTCTGGAGGCCATGGCGGAGGCCCAGGCCCGTAGGGCCCGTGGTGTGTCGGGCCCCGAGGACCCCCTTGACCTCTTAAGCATGGACCCTGGCGCGGCCGAGCCGTGCTGGGGTTGAGTCTGGGAGGTTTGGGGGGTCCCGAGGGTCGAATTCGTGTGCAAGACCTTTTTGGGTCGAGTCTAGCCTCCTCCTCCTCCTCATCCTTTTCCTCTTCCTCCTCGTTAGAATCTGTCCCATCATCCTTCTCCTCCTCCTCCTCCTTCTCATCATCCTCCCACTCCTCCGCGTTTCCGCCTCCTCCTCATCATCCTTAAAAACAGTCCCCTCCTTCTACTCCTCCTCCTCCTCCTCATCATCCTCCTCCTCCTCCTCCTTATCATTATCATCCTCACCCTCATCCTCATCCTCATCATCATCAGCATCATCATCATCATCATCATCATCATCATCATCATCATCATCATCATCAGCAACAGCAGCATCATCATCATCAGCATCATCATCATCATCAGCATCATCATCCCCATCCTCCTCCTCCTCCTCCTCCTCCTCATCCTCCTCCTCCTCCTCCTCCTCCTCCTCCTCCTCCTCCTACCCGTTGCGAAACAACTACGACGCCAGGATCTCAGCGAAGGCCCAGCGGCGCGAACCCCTCGCGGTCGACAGGCCGCGCAGAGGCGGCCGCCACACGGCTCCGGGCGCGCGCCTGCATGCGCCGCGTCGGGCGGCGGCGGCGGCGGCCCGGGCCGCGCGAGGCCGCGAGGAGGCGGCGGCGCTCCTGGCGGCGGCGCGCCCAGAGGGAGCGGAAACTCTAGGCGTCCCAGACAGGGACCGAGTAGATGGGGTCGCAGGAGAAGGAGGAGGAGGAGGAGGAGAGAGGATGGAGGAGGATGGAGGGAGAAGGAGGAGGAGGAGGAGGAGGAGGAAAAGGAGGATAAGGAGGAGGAGGATAAGGAGGAGGAGGAGGAGGAGGAGGAGGAGCAGGATCCGGCGATCGGCGCATCGCCGATGCTCGGCGATGCGGCTCGATGTGGAGTCCGATTTTCCCCACGCCGACGTCGCCGATGCATCGGCGATGCGGCGCGATCCTCCGACCCCATCTACTCCGACCCCATCTGGGATGCCTATGGGAAACGAGACTCTTGAGACAAAGCCAGGACAGTGACAGAATCGGCCAGGGATAGATCGGAGATCTATGAGACCTGGCGGTTCTGGATAATCCACGGACCATGTCCGCCTGTGGAAGACACTCTTCCTTTGGTCGTCGTCGTTGTCGTCGTGTCGTCTCCGTCATCTCCTCGTCGTCTCTGTCGTCGTCTCCGTCGTCGTCTCCGTCTCCGTCGTCTCCTCGTCGTCTCCGTCAACCGTCGTCTCCGTCGTCCCCCGTCTCCTTTCCCTAGCCTTTGTCGTCGTGTCGTCTCCGTCGTCTCCTCGCCGTCTCCGTCGTCGTCTCCGTCTCCGTCGTCTCCTCGTCGTCTCCGTCAATCGTCGTCTCCGTCGTCCCGCACCTCCTTTCCGCGGGCCCCCCCTTAAGCTCGCCAGCCAAACCGACATTGAGCAACGTCGTAACTGATTCGAAGCGAAACCCCTTCCCTTCGATCCCCTCTCCGCTGGGGGGTCCCTGGGGAGGGGGTCGGCCTCCAGAGACGCATTCCCCCCGGGCCTTTCTGGAGTCAAGAAAAGCCCCAAGACGCGGCAAGAGTGCCACAAGAGGCCCCCAAGACGGTCCCTGAGGGCCTGAGGGCCCCGAATCGCCGAATTGTCGGTCCAAGACGCCAAAGTAGCCTCCAGACGGCTCAAGAAGTTCTCAAAACGCCCTTCGAGGCCTCCAAGAGCACTCTAAGAAGGCCCCCAGGGGCAAAAATCACAGATGTTCCTTCAGTATTTGAAAAATTGTGGCGTTCTCGCTTTGTCGGCTTCCCGACGCTCCAAGGAAGCCCAAGAGGCCCCCAAGATCGCCCAAGCGGCCTCCAAGAGGGCCCCAAAACGACCCAAGAGGGCCCCAAGATCACCCAAGAGGCCTCCAAGACAGCCCAAGAGGCCCCCGAGACCGCTCCAACAGGGAGCCCAGACAGGGGACCCGTACTGGCATTTCGAGCCCTCGGCCTGAGAGGCCCCAAGAAGCCCCAAAGATGCCCCAAGAGGCCCCCAAGAGACCTCCAGGGAGGAGGCTCCCAAGAGGCCCCAAAACTAACTCCAAGAGGCCTCCGAGAGCGCTCGTCGTCGTCGTCGTCGTCGTCGTCGTCGTCGTCGTCGTCGTCGTCGTCGTCGTCGTCGTCGTCGTCGTCGTCGTCGCTGTCGTCGTTCAGGGTCTGCGGCACCGGCCGTAAGGCCTCTCTCATGTATCGTTCGCCGCGGCCGTTGCAGAGCGTTCTGGACCGCTCTGGGAGCGCCCCAGAAAACTCTGGAAATTCTGGATCGATTCATCCCTGTCCCAACCCCGCCCGAACCTTCTCGCCCTCGCGTCGCGGAGGACATCACGACGAGAGGCTTCTAGACGTTTTCGGCCTCCGACGGCCCTCCTCGCCCCGGAGAAGGAGGAGGAGGAAGAGGAGGAGGAGGAGGAGGAGGAGAAGGAAAAGGATGGAGGGGAACGGAAGGAGGAGGGGGACGAGGCGGAGGAGGAGGAGGAGGTGGAGGAGGAGGAGGAGGATACAGGAGGATGGAGGAGGAGGAGGAGGTGGAGGAGGAAGAGGAGGATACAGGAGGTTGGAGGAGGATGAGGAGGAGAAGGAGGATGAGGAGGAGGAGGAAGAGAAGGAGGAGGGGGAGGATGGAGGAGGATGGAGGGGGATGGCTGGAGGAGGAGGAAAAGGAGGAGCAGAAGGAGGAGGAGGATTAGGAAGAGGAGGAAGGGGAGGAGGAGGAGGAGGAGGAGGAGGAGGAGGAGGAGGAGGAGGAGGAGGAGGAGGAGGAGGAAGAAGAGGACGACCGGTGCAAACCCAAGAACCATCAAGGATGCTGGAATACACCATCCCTCCGAACTCCCTCTACATAAAACCCCACAAGAAGGGTTTGGCGATCCTGAATCGCGCCAGAACGCCATTCGTGGAACTTCAACACCGCGGATCAACGTAACTGTGGCGCCCTGCCAATCCTGAGTCGCTCCAAAACACCGTTTCTGGTAGTTTAACCATGAGAACTAATGACATTCTTGCCTGTTTGAAAAAGAATGTGCGCGGCGCTGAGGCGAGAACAACATTTTGTCAGGATTATCCAGAAAGGGCGAGGAGGAGGCGCACGAGGAGGCGGCGGAGGAGGAGCAGGAGAATGAGGAGGAGGGGAAGGATTATCGGGAGGAGGAAGGGGAGGAGGAGGACGAGAGGATGATGATGATGATGATGAT